TTCAAAGCACATTAGTGGTATTATGAACTTTTGACACCACCAGACCCTCAGTGGCATGGAGGACTTTTAACAAACCGCAAGATGTAGCACTTTTTTGACAGATGTCTGATATGTCATTTTATATGCTGACTCATGACCAGTAATTGATGTTCCTGTGAAGAGATGCTAGCCCTCTCTCTGAGAGAAAAGGCACTTATGGCTCTCCATAGAAAGGACCAAAAACTCACTGACAAGTGAAACTGAACTTCTTTTGCCAGTTTCACTTAAGGATCATGTCAGACATTTTGGGACCTACCTTGTAAAGCTGACAAATAAAGAAAGTATGTGATAATTATCATTATCATAATTCACATTAATATATTTACTCAGATAATGAGTATGTTGTAGGCTGTCACTTCAGCATTTAAATTTAAGTAAAATCATTTATAAATGGAAATGTATGTTCTTATTGTGCTCTTGGTATTCTGATTGGAACATGTTGCTTTTAGAAATGAAAAATGAAATTACAGTTACAATTATTTTGCCGTAATGTAGTAATGATCCCAGCACCACATTCCTTGAATCGTTCTCATTCACTTATAATTCCCTTCATTAAAGTCTATCCCTTTCTAATAGACTAATTCTTTCTCCTTTTTATATACATTAAACAGCAACAATGCACTTTGAAGAATTTTCGAGGTGCGTAAATGCTTTAGTTACTTTTCCAAAGGAGGATGTAAGAATTATGAATGTTGGAAAATTACTACTAACTACACATAATAATGTGGGCATTATATCAAAACTCCAGCGGCTCACAATAGCGGAAAAATATAGATGATCTTTGTTGTAATTTGTGAGTGAGACGCTTAGACGAGGTCTCCAACCACCGGGCCGTGGAAGAATTGCGCGTCGCAAGAACGTTCTGGGAAAAATGTGTTGACACTGTTATTTATTGCGTGTTAATGATTGTTCTTATTATTCAGTATTTTCGTTTTATGCGATTGATATGGAGTAGCAATTTGACGATTTCATGTTAAATAAGTAAATGAAAGATCTTTTCTGCTCTGATCTGTCACATATTAGGGGTTAAATGGATCGATCCGTAATACGTACGGATGAGACCCTACCGTTCGGCATGCACGTGATTCGCAGATTAATTTGCCAATTTACACGTTCAAGCTATTTTAAACCACAAGAATAAGAAACGAAAGAGAGCTCAATTCGATAGCCTACTCACGGGTTGTTCTCGCACACAATCAAAGCGCGCACAAGCATATAGAGCTCCGGACGTCACGTGGCAGGCAGGGACAGCCGGGAGCGAATATGAAATAAATGGCTCCAGCATGAGTTTCAAGGCAACAGAGTTCACTGCGTACTCTAATTCAAAAGACATAGACCTGTACATAGCAAAACTTAATAGATTAAGCATAACAGATCCCAATATACCCGTGGTGGGACGTCCCGGCTAATACGGGACGGTTGGCAACCATAGCTTTCCCCTGCCTGTTTTGGCATCCTGGCGCACAGCAGCTGTCCACCATGTTGAAATAGTAGGGCTGGGAATCGATTCTAAAAAGAATCGATTCCGAGGCGTTGGGAATCGAGAGTCGATTCATTCAGAGCCTTTTCAGTTCAACAAAGCTTATCTATGGGTGTCTCTCAAACGGAAGGCTGCACACATTTAAATTCACGAAAATAAACACAAAGAAAACGAGTCGGTACTGATCATCTGAATTTTAGGATGCAGCCTTCCGTTTGAGAAGCACCATTCACCTCCCTCATGCTCGCTAAAAGCTGTAATTACGATAGTTGTGAGATAAAATATTATTTTCATTTTTATATTTTTATTACCATTCGCCTCCCTCATGCTCGCTAAAGGTGATTAGAAGTCTGATTAGTTTCCTGATTCGGATAGATAGTTTTAATGAACCAGTTCAAAAAAAACGATTCAGAGGTTATTTTACGGTGGAACGACCGAATAGATCATGACGTCATCGAGGGTCTTGATCTTATTACCATCTAAAATACTATTTTTGTAAAACATTTCTATCAGCCACTGAGAATCATAAAAGAAAACGTGACGAGCATAGATCAGAGGCCGAGAGCGCATCTGATTGACAGATAAACCACGAGCTCTATCAGTTATTAATGTTCTGGTTATTTTGTTTCAGTGTACAGTTTGTTAATATTGTGCAAAGCATAACTTACAGTCAAAGTAAACGTCATCATTCAGCTGAACTGTGCACATTTATTTTAGACACTTCATGTCTTGTTTAATTCATGCGATAAACGCATGTCCCTGCTGAGCTGTGTCATGGGCAAAGCAGCCAAAATTACAATTTATTGACTCAAAAAACAAAACAAAAAAAAACAATATAATGTGTTGAACCAATATAATACTATATAATAGCCTAATATATATATATATATAAGGATATATATATACAGAACATTACAGAACCGGGTGGAATCACTGGAAAAAGAGAACTGTGTGCTACGTGTGAGACGAACTGGATGCTTACAAAAGGAGGTGGAATCTACGAGTGGCCGGTATTCAGGAGCAGCGAGGAGAAGATGTCCGGAAGATTCTAATCGACTTATTCGGTAAAGTTTCTCCTGGGATAGCAGACTTAAAATATGAAGCCGCAAAAAGACAATATATGAATCCTGAACGTTCTGTGTGTCTGTGGAAATCAGGCGCGGACTGGCCATCGGGAGAACCGGGACCAATTCCCGGTGGCCTGGCAGCCGATTTGGCCCGCTATTTCTAAATCATTATGGCTGAAAGAACGAAAGTGAGAGAGAACTGTCATTAAGGGGAAAAGAAAACAAAACAGACTTTTGCTCATGCCCTTATACTTATTATAATTTCTTTGTTGCAGAGTCAAGCGAATTATCGCTTTTTTTGTCTTATTTTAGTGAAGTTTCTTCTGTTCTAATTGATATCTTGTTCTATAGCCTACCTAGTTCTTCAGGTATTATATTCTTCTTTCATTTTTATGTCTTTGTTTTCTTTAAATGCCAGGGGTTTGAAAAACAATGTTAAAAGGAAGGCTTTATTTTTGTTTTCTAAGAGGCACAAAGTAGATTTCTGTTTTCCAGGAAAGTCACTCTACAGTTAAAGACACCAAATTCTGGAGGTCACAGTGGGGCAATGAAATATGGCTGTCACACGGGTCAGAATATTCTGCTGGAGTAGGGATTATGAAGTATAATTTTAATGGTCGTATTCTGGAAACCAGTATTGATCCTTCAGGTCACTTCCTGCTAATAGTAGTTGTTGTTAACCAATTTATAGTAATTATTGTCAACATCTATGGATACAACTCTGTTGCGGGAAACTGCACTCTCTTTAACATGCTAGATCAAAAACTTTCATCTGCATTAGAGAAATATCCTACTGCCTTTCTGATTTTAGGTGGTGACTTTAACATAGTAATGAATAACATGCTAGATCGACACCCTCCAAGGAAAGCAGCTTCTTCAAACTCAAATCTTATTTTTCTATAAAGATATTGTGGTGATGTACTAATTTTGACATGTAGGCAATTTAGAAAGTGTTTTGTTAAATCTTGAGTATTAAAGTCATGTGAGAGATAGATATCAGGGCAAAATAAAGAGACTGAAAAGAAAAATGGAAGTGAAGGTGCAGTTTAATTATTTTGCATGTCCCCAACCTAAGGATCTAAACCTTTTTTATGTGAGGTCCATACAAAAAATAGGGTTGTTGTTCAACTTTGATCATCTTAATTCAAGTGATCTGTCAAAGTCTGACAGTGTTGAGCACTACTGTAAGGTTAAGCCTGCATTGTGTAAATGTTTGAAAATGATTAACAGTTGCAAATAAACATTCATTAGACGTGCTGGATCTTCAACTCGATTCTTAATTTTTATTTTGGGACTTAATCGTTTAGAACATTTTTCATGAATATGGAATATTTACTTTTGAAATCGAAACCATCCTTTGCTGTCGATGAGACTGAGGACACCTTTTGAAGACCCCAAAGAAAACGTGGCTACAGAGAGATTTATCAATAAGAGGAAGAATTTAAAGCCGAAGGATTGTCTCGACTGACTTATGCTGCTCTTTCCTTGGAGGTTGATAAAGGAACATTAAAAAGAATTGATAGCATGTTAAACAATTTTGTTTGGAAAAATAAAACTCACTATATTAGGAAATCTGTAATAATGAACCCAACAAAACAGGGGGGACTGGATTTTGTAGATTTTACTACCTTAAATAATACTTTTAAAATTAATTGGCTTAAGAATTTCCTTAAAAATCCCTCCTCACTTTGGAATTTTATCCCAAATTATATTTTCTCTAAAGTTGGTGGCCTGAATTTCCTATTATTTTGTAATTATAATGTTTTAAAAATCCCTATCAAACTTTCTAATTTCCATAAGCAGATGCTCTTGGCCTGGTCCTTAATTTACAAACACAACTTTTCTCCGCACAGATATTATTTATGGAACAATAAGGATATTCTGGACTTGGATAAGTATGTGGAAACTATCCAAAGTTCTGTTAATTTGAAAGCTATGAAAACAGTATCTTTATATTCGTCCTTTTTGTCTTCTTAAGATGTAATTTTATTACCTTGTTTTTTTGTGGTTGTTACCCTGGCAACAAATCTGTGTGTATATTCTGTTGTTTTTCTGTTTTTGTTTTTATCTCGTCTTTATTTATGATTTTGATAATTGTACTGCCTTGATATTTTAATGTTTGTATTGTTTAATAAAAAAAATAATAAAAACCCTGGCTTAGACGATTCGGTGTTTTTAATGAATCGGTTAAGTGAGAGATTCAACGGCTTAATGTTGTGTCCTGCAGAGATTGTCGCTTGAATCAATGAATGAATCTTGTGAGTGAGCTGAGCTGATTCAAAATATACGAACTACTGGAATGAATGAACCTGCCACAAAAAAACAGTAGAAAACGCGCCTTTAGTTTGAGTTACATCAGTGAGAGCCAATCATGTTCAAGCATTAAAGACACCGCCCCTTCTTGAAAGAGAGAAGTCGACTAGGCCGCGCTCGCTCAGCCGGTAGGTTACGGGGGATGCTTCCGGGCCAAGAGCGTGAGGAGCATGATATAAGAGAACAAGTGAGAGCGCTATTCTGCTTTGCATGCGTACGTTTTTAATCGGTTAGAGGTAGTAGCGATTATCAGATTTGTATCTGTTTGTATTTATTAGCTGTTTCTCCTGTCGGCCAAGGTTTGTTTGAAGCACCTTTAATCAACCGGAAGAAGAAGACGTCCACGCGCCCTCACACGGAACCGAGGACGTCGAGTTATACAGTAAGTCCGCGTGCAACAGACGGTGTTGTTTATTGTGTATTATCCAAAGTCGTTTCTCGTCGCATGTGTTTATAAACCTTGTACGAGAGCTCGGGCTTTACTGGTCGTGCCAGTTGACGGATCGTTGTGTTTCGGTAGGTGTGTCGTTTGATTCAAAACCGTGCCAAACAAAGAGCGGCCTGCGTTTCTGGCGCACTTATTAATGGCGTTAATCTTGTTTATTGGCTAACAGTCAAACCGCTTGCTACATTCTCAAGCATTTCATGCTTATAAGCCCTTGTCGTAGTGTCTGGTGTGGATTTGGTTGTCTGAGTCTTGTTAATTTAGATTGTGTTGATAAACATGATTGAACAGTCCATCATGGCCGTAGCTCGACAGTTGAGGCGACTGGTGTTACAGAGGAAAGCGAAACTAAAACAATGCTTGAGGACAAGCATGTGTTAACTCTTTATAGTAATGTTCTAACAGATCTCATATCTTCAGTTTTGACCGATTTGTAAACATCCACGTGACGTGATGAGGGAACAGCTGACCGCGAGTAGCGATGTTTTTAGCACGCGTTTTTGTACGACATACTCGACCAACGTACTTTCATTCGCGCTGGTTGATCAACACGACCTTATTATATTTATACAATGAGAAACTCTACTTTGACAGGGTTGATTAACCTTAACAGAACCAGGGATAGTAATCTTATATACACTGCAATTTAATTGCATTATATAATGCCTAAAGTTCAGCCAAAAATAAAAGCTGTAATTTACTCAGCCTCATGTTATTTTGCATAACTATAATATAATATACTTTGAAGAATCTTGCTATTCAGTTTTGGTGACCATTGACTTTTATTGTATAGACAAAGAAAAAAGATTTTTCAGAAGATCATCTTTTGTGTTCTGCTGAAGAAAGGCATACAGATTTGAAATTACATGAGGGTGAGTGAATTTAATAAAATGACAGTTTTCATTTTTGGTGGATTGTCCCTTTAACAGGTTGTATGATATTTTGTAATTAGAAATGACATTTTTATAGCATCTCCCCTGACCTCCAGAGACCCCCAGTGGTCCTTAACTCCCTGGTTAAAATATGATTTGTAAGCCTTTGTTTGTGTTTTTTTGCAAAGAAAATATGTGCAATCATTTGAGTATCATCAAATTTGTGGAATCAGTTATTGTGCATCATACATTAGCCGATTTAAAATTGAAGGGTTAGTTCACCCAAAAATGAAAATTCTGTCATTAATTACTCACCCTCATGTTGTTTCAAACCTGTAAGACCTTCGTTCATCTTCGGAACACAAATTAAGATATTTTTGATGGAATCTGAGAGCTGTCTGACCCTGCATAGACAGCAACGCAACTGAAATGTTCCCAAGTCCAGAAATGTAGCAAGGAGATCTGTAAAATAATCCATGTGACATCAGGGGTTCAACCATAATTTTACGTAGCTACGAGTATACTTTTTGAGAGCAAAAGGGAAAAAAAACGGCTTTATTCAACAATTCAACAATCGTAAAATTTGGGTTGAACCCCGGATACATTTCTAGACCTTGATCGTGTAAGGACCCTTTCTGTCTATGGGAGGGTCAGAGAGCTCTCAGATTCCATCAAAAATATCTTAATTTGTGTTCCGAAGATGAACGAAGGTCTTA